CCTTGTCGTAATAGCAATTCGAAGACACTGTGCCAAATTCAAAAATATACTGACAAGAAATACCTGTTGAGAAATATGAGAAGTAGAAGTTGAAGAGACAATGATTCACAGAAGCAAATTCAAGTTTATTGTGCCATATTGTGTCATTTGCATCACTTAATTATCTTTCAGAACCCACAAACACTCCGGTACGACATGCACATACTTGCGCGGTTCTGTATACAAAGCCGCAATTTAGCTCCCATTCCACTCCTGCAGGGCATACGCAGGAACGTAAGCATTGTGGTTGACGCTACAGATCGCATTGTCGGCCGATAGTTTTGTATTATTGGATGGCCCCTGTGCCGTGCATATAATTAAAAAAATACATCCTCGCCTCTGTGTGAGAGTTAAACACAAGAAGAGTCCGCCATGGTTCCGTGAATCGGCCCTTTATGCAGTCATCACTCATCAGATTCAGTCAGATTTAACTCTAATGTCTGAGACTCTGAGACTCTGAGTCACCCAGTTAATTCAGTCAACTAGTCAGGCACAGCTGGAAGATTTCAGATTTGAAGGTGTGTGACTCCAGTCTCCATAAATATAAAAAATAAAAAAATTAATGTTTTATATTTACAACTGATTTCATAGCCTTCTTGTTCTATTTTCAGAAGGCTGTGCTGTTTTTCTTGGTATTCATTTTCAAAAAAACAAAAACCAAAAATAATAGTATGGACTGAGACACTGTTGTTCTATTTATTTATAATTATACCCCTTTTTGCATGGGGGAAAAGGTTTCAATTTAGAATAGAAGGTTAAATATTTATATAGTTTTTTTGTTAAAAAACAAACAAACAAGAAGCAAAAGACCGAACTAAAACTACTTTGGTTTTAATATTTTGTTTTTGGTTCAATAAAAAACCCAAAACCCAAAACAAATCCACTTTCCTTATCATATTTATTCTTCATAGACACCTGAATTAACGGGACAGGTCAAAACTGCCCAAATTGTTTAAACCTAAACTACATTTTTCGGTTGCTGAGCACCCACTTCGTGCCCACAGTTTTTACCAAGTTTGCTTTTTATATATATAGTAAATATATGTACAAATATACAATTATTCATAAATAAATTCAAAAATATGTTCACAGTTTTCTAGAGTTCCAATATGTATAAATTTTAAAATTGTATCTTGTTGATATTCATCCTTTGTTAAAAATATGTTGTATTTTGGTAAATATTACCGAGCGAAGTGAGTCGCTCTTGTGACTCTCACTCGCCATAAATTATATACAAATAGAGCTCTCGAAGACAGTATCCTTCTGTTTATTGTTTATTTTTTTGTTTTGAAATCTGTACAATTGTTTTTTTAAAATTGCTCAATATTTAAATTTGGTCCGCCCTTCATAGTTCAGTGAGTTCACATTCACAAGTTCACGACTTCACGGCCTGTTTGGGCTGTTGGTATTTGTTGTTTTCAAGTCAAAAAAAGGTTAGGGATGTCGTTTGTCTTTTGTAAAAAGGAAAAGAACAATAAAAGTTCAAAACCCATTATATTGTAATACGCATAACAAAGCAAAAAATATTAACGAATAGGACCGGACTTTAAAAGTTTGGTCCCGTTTCTGATAAAGTTCTGTCGCAATAGTGAATAGACCAAGTGGCCAATACATTATCTGAATACTGCCTTAACTCTCACACCGGTCCGTCATATGTACGACCCTGGGGCCTGAAGCCCTGGACCCACAGCCTCGCAATAGCCGCGAGGTATATGATAACCAGTTAACCGCTATGGCGCTATAACACAGTATAAGTATGTAGCCTCTATCAGAATGACAAAAAGTCTTGTTTTGTTTTGTTTGACTTTGTTTTCAAAAACAAAAATAACTAGGGGGTGAGTCTGACTGTGGGCCTGTGGCCCTGTGCCCTACACGGTTGTGCCCCTCGACCTCAGCCCTCAGGGCCTCCCCTGTGTGTGGGGGGTGTGGGCTCGTTCCCGTTGGCCGCGTGGCACAGTCACTCAGCGGCACTGTGGCCGGGTCTCATTAAAGTTCAGACTTCGAGAGTCATTTTTATTGTTTTTTATTTTAAAATTATGCACAAGAAGTTGCATTTTAAATTTTAAATAATAATAATGCACTTTACCGGGCCCAGTTGTCTGTCAATTACCGCTGTTGTATCCACTTTTATCTGTATATCATTGACATATTTTTAAGTTGTCTTGCCAAATATGGTTATTTCAGCCATCCAGTACATATAAAATTTTGTTACTCCGAAATCATCTTCTTGCTTTTCAGACTTTTCCCTGCTCAGCTATGGCGTCCAATAATTACTGTAGATCATCCGATGGCGATTTCTGTTAAAAAACAGACGGTAAATACATGAACATTCTGTACAACAGCGAATTAAGCCCATCTTTTATTCTTTACTCTCTCTATAGTATTTAGTAGCTCTCCTCTAGTAGAGTCTCTACTACTGAGAGAGAAAGTATGTACATAGAGAAAGAGGAGTCTCACTGTAGAGAGAGAGAGAGAGAGAGAGAGAGAGAGAGAGAGAGAGAGAGAGAGAGAGAGAGAGAGAGAGAGAGAGAGAGAGAGAGAGAGAGAGAGAGAGTAGAGTAGAGAGTAGTAGTAGTAGTAGTAGTAGTAGTAGTAGTAGTAGTAGTAGTACGTAAGTACGTAAGTAAGTAACGTAACGTAACGTAACGTAAGTAACGTAACG